AAAACATAAAATTTCAGTTTTTTGAGTGAAATTGGAAAGTGACAATAAATGTTATAGTCCCAAATAGGCCTCTGAAATTTATATTTAATCAAGGCAGTAACTAAATATGTAAAGTAATTATAATCTATTAATCACCAAGTCATTGCCATTGAATCTGGGTCTGGAGACACTGACAATTTGATTTTTGCCTCTATGTCCTGGAAAAGAAAAAATCYACTTTTTCAGTTGATTCATAGCCCTTATTTATTAGTCTTTAAAACAATTTTAGTTAAGTAATGCATGATGATTACAGAAAAATTAGAAAACACAAAGAAGCATGAAGAATATTGAAATTACTTATGATGGTATCATCAGGGACAAAGTAGACACTATTAACATTTTGTAATATTTCTACGATCATACTTTTTCTACCTCATTTTGACTAGAATTTAACCCAGGGGCAATTTACACTGAGCTATAGCTCCAGCCTTTTTWAAAATTTTTTATTTTGAGATAGGGTCTCATGAGTTGCTTAGGGCCTCACTAAGTTTCTGAGGCTGGCCTTGAACTTGTGATCCAACTGTCTCAGCCTCCCAAGCTGCTGGGATTACRGGCATTAACCATTGTGCTTAGCTCCTTTCTACTTCATTGTTAATGGTAGGGAAATAATATTAGTAATGAGAGCAAATATTACACTTACTGTATGCCATGCACAGTTCCAAGTGCTTTACATATATTCAAAATGAGAYGCATCTCCTGTTCAGAAGCAGTAAGAATGTATCATCACTTCACAGATATTGCTGCCCAAACTGATAATATGACTGAYAAACCCAATCTTTAGAATAACTCAGCTGTTTTGATCAGAAATGCCAACGTCCCCCAAAATAATGAAAAACTGAGAATTTTTTTCTAACATAAGGAGACTGAAGAGATATAACAACTGAATCCAGTTCATTATCTGATATTTTCTTTATTTTTTTATACTTTTATTTTTAGTTATAGTTGGACACAACACTTTTTAAATTTTATTTATTTTTATGTGGTGCTGAGGATCAAACATAGGGCCTTGCKTGTCTTAGGCAAGTGCTCTACGTGGAGCCATAACCCCAACCCCTGGGATTTTCTTTTCTTATAAAAGTCATTATTGGGGCAGTTGGTACAATTTAATTTGTCTTGTGGTGCTGGGGATTGAACTCCCAGGGCTACTCTACCACTGAGCTACACCCCCAGCCCTTTTAATTAATTAATTAATTTTTGAGATAGGGTCTTGCTAAGTAGTTGAGGCTGGCTTTGAACTTGGGGTCCTCCTACCTCAGCCTTTCAAGTAGCTGGGATTATAGGTGTGCTGCATCTTGTCTGGGTTAAATATGGTTTTTAGCTAATAGTATTTTATCAATGTTAATTTCATGCATATCCTAATTTTGGTAAACATGTCATGGTTATGTAAAAGAGTGTCTTTTTATTTAGRGAATGCATGCTGAAGTACCCAAAGGTAATGGGGAGTCACATCTGCAACTCACTCTCAGTTTTTAAAATTTACACACATACCCTCCCAACACACACAAGGAGAGAGAGATTCAAGAGAAAGGAGGTGGGGGAGAAATTTTAATATCTGGGGAGTCTGGCTGGGGTGGGGAATATAAAAATTTATACTATTTTTGCAAGGTAGTGTGAATCTGACATTTTGTCACAATAAAAATTTACAAAACTTAACATAAAAGTGTACCTTTTRTAAAATGGAAAATGATTTCTAATTCTTTTGCTCTCCTTCCTTAAATATCACATTGAACAGTTTAGCGAGTAGCCTTCTAAATTTTTACTATGCATATACAATTATATGCATATGTTTGTATCTCTCTGTGTATTTCTACATGTAATTTTTAGTAGGTTCATACTTAACTACTGCAATAAAATATCCTGCTACCTAACTTTTAAAATTCTGTATTATTGATATTTTCTTACATCAGTACATATATACATGTACTTAATTTTTAAGCTTTGCATATTATATCCAGAGTGTAGATGTAGTACAATCTATTTAGTAATTTTCCTTTTGATGAACATGTAAATTTTTATTTCCTTTTTCTATTAAAAATCTCCCAGTGATTGACATTTTTGTGTATTTGCAAGTATTTCTGTGGTTTAGACATGGAATTCCTGAGTCAGAGGATATTCACAGTTAATCTATTGATTAATATGGCAAGGACCACTTAAGAAGGCAAAAGTTTACCTAAATAGCTTCTTCATTATCAGTGCCAGAACTATATGTACAGAGTATGTGAACGATGGCTAAGACCAATCTGTGGGMCATTCCAATGATTCATGTGGCCCACGATCTGCTTACAGCTGTGCACTGCTGACCAGCACAGAGCCGTGGTTGCCACCCTTGTGTATTAGTGAGAGCATTGCTGGAGGTGTTCTCTCATGCAAGCTGATACATGACTCCAGTCTCTCAAGAGTTCATTGTTAACCTGGGGGTTTATGACAACCCTGTTAAGTGCCCTTAATTACTTGCATGCTTTCTGATGTGTTTAAGAATACAGCTATTAATTATTGTGACTCTTGGATCACTACTTATCTTCTCTTTTACTTGCTTCTCTTTGCTGTTTTCTTGTCTTTTATTCACAACTGATTCAATAAAATCAACTTATATATCTGCAAGAAAATATTGAAGCTATGAAGAAAGGCTTAACATAAATGAATAAATGTAATGATAATTTTTCTTATTATGCCACCCATCGTCTTCCCTAAAAATATCGGCTCTGTCAGCCAGCTTTTCATCTGCAGGGAATTTGTTGTGCTTTGGGAGAGGGGAGTGTGTTCAAGGGCAGGGGCAGAAATGGTTTCCCCAATGAAAAGGCTTAGGGATTGTTTCCAGGCCAACGGAAGTGTTTTGAACAATTACTGTAAACCAGGATATGCTCACACTGAAACTGGGTGCAGTGGTGCACATCTGTAGTCCCAGCACTTGGGAAATGGAGGCAGGAGGATTACTTGAGCTCAGGAGTTTAATACTAGCCTGGACAACATAGCAAATCCCATCTCAAAATATAAAAATAAATAAATGACCTTACTTTGATTTGAACATTAAATAATGTATAACATGTATCAATCAAGACATCATGTGATACTCCATAATATATAAAAATTTATGTGTCAATTAAAAATATACAAAATATAATGGTTTTTAAAGGATGGAAGATTAAAGTGTGAAAATCTTCAGGTGGCAAAATGTTTATTCTTTGACTCTAAATTATTGGGATATAGATGTAAAATGTTAAGAGAGAGAAGAGAGAATAATTAATTTTGATGCAGGGTACCAGCAATGTTTTGATGGGGATATGATCTTTGGGCTGGGCATGGAAGGATGAGTAGATGTTGGCTAGGTTGATAAGACATAACGGAAGACCTTTACAGGTAGRGAGAATACTGAATTGCACGAGTGAAGCCAGAAAGACAGCATTTGGATCCCTGGTACACTTGTGACCTCTGAGAACTCTGAAGGTTGGTACAAATCCTAGGCCATTAGGTCTCACATTTTTATATGCATATAAACCATCTTAGAGTCTTCTTACCATGTGGATTCTGATTCTGAAGGCCTGTCTTTCCAACAAGCTTCCAAGGGGTTCACAGACCACACTTGGAGTAGAAAGGCTGCAAGCACAGTTAGTTATTATTAAACTGTTATTTCAGCGGGGCCTGCTAGCTGGCAGGATTAAGAGAAAGATGGAGAGCACACCTTTGCCTTTTGCTGTGAGCAAATTAATTAAAAGTATTTGAAGGCTTTTTGAGACTATAGCATTTCAGATTCTTTGTACCTGAACCAGCCAGGGATGTAAATAGAGAGTGACTCATCCTGTAGGTCACCTGCCCAGGTAACACAGGGGCTGGCACTGTAAGGAAGGTAAGGGAAAGGTTTAGACTGGCTAGATCAGTTCCTGGATCCAGATAGCTGCGCAGTGCTGAAATCCTTAGTCTGGGGGCAGTGGTGGGAAGTGGAAGGAAAGAAGGACATATTGGATTATCATATGTTTTTAAACTGGTAGGAGGTCTTTGTGAATAATAATACTTAAGAAAACAGAATCCAGGGCTGGGGTTGTGGCTCAATGGTAGATCGCTTGTCTCGCATGCGTAAGGCACTGGGTTCAATCCTCAGCACCACATAAATAAATAACATTTTTATTTTATTTATTGTGCCCATCTACAACTAAAAAAAAAAAAAGAGTCTTTAAAAAAAAAAAAAGAGGGCTGGGGTTTTGCCTCAGAGGTAGAGCACTTGCCTACCATGCATGAGACACTGGGTTCGATCCTCAATATCACATTTAAAAAAAAATAAAATAAAGATATTGTGTTCACCTATATAACTAAAAAATTTAAAAAATTAAATTAAAAAAAAAGAAAATGAAACATAACCCAGATCACCATTTTGAGTTATTTTGATGATACTTTCTCAGGTATTTAATTTTTATTGAGAAAACAGCTACACAAGCTGGGATGGCCTGATTTGAATTAATGACGTTGTTCTTTCTAAAAATAACTTATTCTTATCATAGGAGTTATATTTGTTCTTTGCAGAACATTTGACAATAAATGACATTTCGAGGTGGTCACAGTTGATAATTARTCTAGACTAATTTCCACTTATTCTAGTTTTCCATGCCTCTCCTTGTTAACCCTGCCCTCCTTTCTTGGGGCTCTGGCGCCAGTGGGTTTGTGGATGTGGCAATCAGAACCTGCGGTCAGGGAAAAGCTGGAAGGCTCTTGCTATGCTAGAGGCAAATTGTGATCTCCAAATGAGATCGCTAAGCTCTCCTTCACTTTCATCTTCCCTGCTGTTTGTGAAATGTAGTGGAGAGACTTCATAAGACTAATGAAGGAGGAAGAAAGATCAAGTGATTATTTTTCACAAGAAAGGTAGTTTTGCTCATGCCTTCCTTTCCCTAATGAAGTTTACGCCTTCCACAGATGATCTGGAGCAGACCACATGGCTGGAATTTAGCACCAGGGGTTGGATGCTAAACATGACCCACACAGAGACCATTGCAGAGGTGAGATCATTCTAGAATGATAAGCAATTGTTAACATCAAGGACTCGCCAAGAATAAAATCAGACAGATGTTTGAGCTTGTTGGAGAGAATGATAAAATCAGAGGCTGAAGGAGACAAGGTAATGAGGACATCCTAATGCAAAGTGAATTCAAAACACTTTTGATATGTTCCCAGCACAAGGTCAGAACCCAGGGCATCTATCTGGACACCTATGTCTTGTGGCTYACTAAGGAAGCTCCTTGGAACTGAGGTTTCTTTCTTAGTTGTGGTTCCACTAGAATTTCAAAARTAGGGATTCTCATGCTTTGGAGTACGCACTCATCATCTGGAAGAACTCATTGGGAATGTAGATTCCTGGGCTGCATCCTAGCTGGCTGACTCAGAGAAGAACCTGGCAGTGATGCTGATGGAGGTGGTTGAGCCCATCCTCAGGGTGTTCTGCTCTTTTTTGGATACACACTGATTGGGTACTTTGAAAAAAGAATCAGTGTAGGTCTTTTGCCAGAAGGAAGTCATGCTTTTAATCCCACCAAGAACTAAGCACAATGAAGAGAAGAAGTCCAGAGAAAGGAAAACACAGACTAGATAGCCTCAACTTTGACAAAATAGGTTTATGTCATTAGTGGGCTATGTTATTGACATGGAAAAACACGTTTGTGTCTTTCCGTAGTGTCAGAATTCATTGAATAACAATAAATTCCCAAACTACACCACTGTAACACCCGATAGCCATAAGCTAGGAAATCACAAATTCTTTTATTCCATTCCAATCTTGATTTCTAATATTTATAATATTCAAGTCACATGTGCTTCACACAATATATCATATATATTAGAAGCATATGTGAATTTCTGATATATATATATATATATATATATATATATATATATTAAAAAAGACTAAAAAAGAGTTAAAGATGGCTGAAGAATTACAGGCTCCTATGCCCAGAGCACAGGCAGAGAGCAGATATGATGCAGAGTCATAGTCACAGTAGGTGATCAAATAAGGGTTTTAAAGAACCAATTTCACAGAATCATCAAGGCAAAGAGTCCAGACAGTGAGTGGCTTCAGAATATTAAYTTGGAGTGTCAACTTGAGGTATCCTCTTGGAATAGGTTGTGCAGGAGAAGCTGCACTGAGCTGCTTAGGTGGTGGGGTCAGAGTGCTATGTTGTCCATTCTTGGGGAACTCCTTCTTTTATGGGTCTTAGGCTCCCGTGTCTGGTGTCTCTGATATGATTTGGGATGCCAAGTGTCTGGGTGCTCCTGATTTAGTTTTATAAGTTGGCATGAACAAATTATTCATCTATTTGTGCTTTATGGTTGTCCTGGGCATATTGTTTACTTATACAAAGAAGGTAGAGTCATTCTACTTAGGTACTTGCATTCAAAAAAGCATTGAAGTTGTAGCTCAGTGATGAGCACTTGCCTGGCATATGTGAGGAACTGGGTTGAATCCTCAGCACCATGTAAAAATAATAAATAAAATAAAGGTATTGTGTCCATCTACAACTAAAAAACATTTTTTTTAAAAAAAAGCATTTTATAAAGTAGTATTTTGCTTTACAAAATGCAGTAACTCAGCCTGCTCTCCACAGTGGACTGCTTCTTATTTTTTTAAATACATTTTAGTTGTAGTTGTTCATGGGCCTTCATTTTATTTATTTATTTTTATATGGTGCTTAGGATTGAACCCAGCGCCTCACATGTGCTAGGTAGGCGCTCCACCACTGAGCTATATACCCCAGCCCTCCACAGTGTACTTCTGGAAAGTTGGGAAAATTAGTCTTTYCTTTTCTGCAGTTTTGTTTTCCATACTTTCAGTTGCCTATGGTCAAACAGAGTCTATAGGAAAAGAAGAAATAAAAAATTAATAAGTTTAAAATAACTTATAATACTTTGTTTATATTTTATTATCTTATTAGTTATTGTTAATCTCTTACTGTGCTTAGTTTATAAATGAAATTTTATCATAGCTGTTATGTAGATGAAAATGTATATAGAGTTATGTATATAGAGTTTGCTACTGTCCATAGTTTCAGGCATCCACTGGGGGTATTCGAATGTATCCCCCACACAGGAGCAGAGGACTACTGTATAAATCAAATTTGTATGACTTCATCTTTAATTTCCCTTTGCTTAAATCCTAACATGTCATATTCACTTTTTTTGTTGTTGGTGGTGACAGGGATTGAACTCAGGGGCACTCAACCACTGAGCCACATCCCCAACCCTATTTTGTATTTTATGTAGAGACAGGTCTCACTGAGTTGCTTAGTGCCTCACTGTTGCTGAGGTTGGCTTTGAACTCACCATCCTCCTGTCTCAGCCTCCCGAGTCATATCCACTTTTGATGTTCACCTTGGAGTGACTTTATAATCTTCCCTTTTTTTTGGGGGGGGGTGGTGGTGATGGGAATTGAACCCAGGGCCTTGTGCATGCAAGGCAAGCACTCTACCAACGGAGCTAAATCCCCAGCCCTCGTCTTCCCTTTCTCCACTCCATCTCGCCTCTCCACCCAGAATGTAACTGCCTGTGACYGACAGCAAGTGCACTGCCCTTTGCTCTGCAGTAGCAGAGCCCTGGTTCACTTGGGGGCTCCCTTCCACATAGTGACTTCTGGGGGACACTCTGATGCCTGAGGGCCTCGCTCTCCCTGAGTCTGTCCCCCTGAATTTTCCCTGGCGGACCTGTCAAGTTGGGCTGGAGACCCAGACTGACCTAGCCCCTGTTTACTCATTTAGGGTGCACTACTTGTCAGACCAGTTCCCTGTGTCGGGTGGCCACCCACCTGCCTGGCTGGGTTCTGCTGTCGCTGTGCAGAATCTAGATGACTTTCTTAGTTGGCACCTGTGCTCCACAGCCAGCAATCTGACCTGTATTTACTACCAGAGCAGGTAAGATGTACATTCACACCACCAGACAGGACGTCCATAAGCTTCTGTTCCCTGACAGCCATCTGTCCTGAGACACAGTCCTCTCACAGTCCCAGTCCACCCACATGTCCATTTTCTCCATAAAAAGTCCACTGGATCCTATTGTCTTATTTATTTTTTATTTTTTTATTTTTTTTGTGGTTGTATATGGACAGAATGCCTTTATTTTATTTATTTATTTTTGTGCGGTGCTGAGGATGGAACCCAGTGTCTCACACATGCTAGGCAAGTGCTCTACCACTGAGCTACAGCCCCAGCCCCTATTGTCATATTTTTTACCTCACTGTCACAAAATGCTGGAGAACAAAGAAGAGGAAATGAGATGTCTAACTGCTTAGAGAAGAAGAGCTCAGGACAGAGCAGAAAACATCCAGATCTGCTGACCTTTCCTCAGGATACATTTTCCTATCTTTTCTCAGTTTCTGACATTAGGGATTGTGGGAACTGGAACTTGGATGTATTGAGGGCTTCACAGTAGCCTGCTCCTTTGACAACAAGTAGATCAGGGACAGACACCTGTCACCTCAGGCCTGGATTGTCACCTGGTCATGTTTCAGTGGAGTCCTGAGATAAGGCTAAAGACTAGAAAGTCTACAGGAAAGCCTAGAAGTTGACAGAAATGAGAGAAGTAGACAGGGAAAGAGCCCAATCATAAACAGAGGTGGCCACTGGCTTCTCTGTCCTGGAAGGAGTGGACAGCTCGAATTCCCTCCAGAGGGCAGCTGTGTAGACTCAGGGTTCCCATGACTTCTGTTTCTTCTTTTTAAAATAGAAGCTAGGTAGCTGGATTTTATGTAAGATTCTTTGATTTTAAATATTGTTATCAAACCTATAGTTTCTAAAAATATCTCGTGGATCAGACAAATCATGTTCATGGTGACCCAGCCAGGTATCTCCATGAAAAACAGTATTTCTTAGGACGAAGGGACACCTCACAAGAAAATAAGAGCCAAGCCAGTTCTTTAGTCTTATGGGTTTAAGAGCCATACTAGAAAGTCAGGAGTTAAAAAGGGCCCTAGCCATCAGGGCTATGGGAGTGAGATAACACACCAGGAGATGGGAGTCCGGGAAAGTTAGCTCAGCCTTTTGAGACTGTGTGCGGAAATGGCAGTGAAAACCAGGCAAGGCAGGGTTTGCACTATCCTGAAAATAATAATCCAAAAAAAATTTCTCTCAAGATTCAGGGAATTTCTAGGAGGTGAGGGGCAAATGCATGAGTAGAATAATCACCAAAGTAACCCACATTTATCTTTACCTTATTAGCACCTCTTGAATTGTTGCTTAAGGTGATGTCTGCTTGGTTTTTCCACTATGAAGTTGTAACTTTTTTTTTCTTTGCTAATAAAGTTTATTTGGGGAAGATATTCTGAGAGCCTACAAATATTCTGGCTTTCTTAAACTTTTGTCCACCAATATTAGCCTCCAGTAGCAATTATTACTGTGATGTTCTGATGATTATTTTCTATTTCTCTCAACCTTTACATTATAAGTTAGAATTCTTCTGTAAAGTTTTCCCTTCTCCCCAATTTATTTATTTATACACTAGAGTCCCAATACTATTTATTTTAATCACTGGACTTTAATCTAGTACTATTTTAATACAGTACTATGCTTAATAAAATATTATCTTTTTAAAATGTTGTTGCTCAAGTTAGGAACTCTTTAAGGTTGGCCCTTGTGCCCTTTCAATAAGTCCTCCATCTTCTTCTGAGGGGAGGGGGTCTTCCATGTTTTCTGGCATAACTTGTTTTCTTTCCTGTTTCAGCCTTGGAACCCACTGTTTGTTCAAGGAGACATGATTCCTTTTGTTGGAGAATTGTTTTTAGAAATCAAGATCTTGAGTTAAATTGTATTTTGGGATCAAGGGGTATGGATGTTATTAAATGGCTTAGTATATATACAAGTTGACAGGTTCTTTTAAATTAATTAATTAATTGGTACCAGGCATTGAACCCAGAGCCTCACATGTGCCAGGCAAGTATTCTACTACTGAGCTATATCCCTATTTCTTTTAAATTTTATTTTGAGACAGGCTATTGTGAAGTTGCCCAGGCTGGCCTTGA